GCTAGACAGAAGATCAGAGCTGAAATACATACAACCAGAAGTGTAAGCAAACTGCCAAATCCAAGCATGAGCTTTCCAATCTCCTGCTCTGAATCCCAAGGTTTATTATACCAAGACGTTGCTTACATGCGTGCGTGCAGCGCACAGGAGTGGCAACAGTGCCTGTCTGAGCACAAAGCAGAAAATGTTGAAATAAAGGTACTTGTAAAAGAAGCATACAGCACTCATAGGGTATTAGGAGAGAAAACAAAATGTAAAAACAAGATAAACCCACTTTCCTAGCGTGCACTGCCCTGTTCATTTTATTCATGTGACAGCTGGTTTTGGACAGCTACGAGCCCAGCTCCACGAAGCCTAATCCTCGCCATTGTGCAAATACTGCAGAATTGCCACAGGCTTGGCTGTGGAGCAGAGCTATGTTAGCAGCTCTGATCAACTAGCAGAAAGAGGATCCAAACAGAGGGCTTGGTTTTGTGTACTCTTAGCACAGTTAAGCAAAACTGCTCTGGAATTTAGGAATTAGCAGATACAATGCGGTAAAAAATAGAACTACTGACTTTCTCTCATATTGGGACCGGACAAGGGCATCAGGGAAAGAATTTTATTAGGTTATTACTTCTTTACTCTCCTCCTGATACAGTCAATCTTCCTTGTAGGGTTTACATTAATAAATAATTATCTCTTGCCATAGCAAGAGAAAGAGATGCACAGAAAGGCCATACAAGCGCTCTCCTATAGCTGGCAGCCTTTTAAAAAACAAAGCTGAAATTGAAAAGTTTCACTAATCCTAGCCTCGTCATCTACAAGGCTGCTGAAATAACCCCCTAAAGCACTGTGGAAAGGCACAACAGAACAGTGCATAAAGCACGAGGCAGTTGACTTCTAGTAGAGACGGTATCATCTATGAGGGCATCTCTTTGTAGCAAGGATTAAGGGGAGAGCACCGTTTCCCAAACACTGTTGACTTATACAACTACCATCCAGCAATTTTACTTTCTCTTTGTGGTCTAGAATGTATTATTAATGTGCAGTCTTAAAGGAATGTGCTAAATTCCTTTTACGTTTAGCACTTACAAAACATACAGAGAGGGGGAAAAGTGTCAGTGGTTTTCACAGTCTAAACAATAACAAAGTGCCTCCAGGATTCATTTTAATGAGAAACACCAGTGTTGCACTGCAGAAGTCTTGAGATGGGCAATGCACACAAGCAGATTAATTATAATTTCAGAGGCAGGAAATATGTGGATTTTATAACACAGCTAGTAGAAAATAAATATTCTGTTAATCACTGTAAAAGTCATATCTCCTCAAAGGTAGTATTAACCTATAAATATATGTGCCACATACATTTAGCAAGAGTAGGAAATGAAAGAACCCTTCCTCTTCCCTGTCCAAAACCAAAAGCTTTTAGATTTTTTTTCTTTTCTTGTAACTAGCGATGGCCTTTTGATTTCTATTTTGGGGGATTTTTCAGCTTGGGATTAGTCTAAGTTTTTCTGAGCATAACACAGACTGCAGCCGGCATGCTCTGTGATCACCCATTAGTCCTGAAGAATAGATTTATTATCGCTGGCGTTCCATGTAAACCACGACTTCGATCCGCACTGGAACAGCCATCGACTTTCATGAAGGTTTTACGGATCGCCGAGTCCAGGGGCATCTCCTGCCATCTTTGCTGGACCTTTGGATGACATTTGCAAGGTAAAGCCCTCTCTCTACCCTTATGCAGAATTTCTCTGCTAGACAACGCGCTTCCCCACTGCCTCCAGCAAGCCCAGTTGACAGCTGGCAGCCTGATGCTGGTGGTGCTGTCTGTAGCTTTCAAAATGGTAGGTGGCAAGAGACTGGAATTTTAACAATGCAGGGACTCGATTCATAACCTCACTGAGCATATTTGATAACTACAGTGTAATTTCTGGTTGTAATTCAGAGAAGGACTGCATTGTTTTACAAGATAAATGTATTAATCCCTATTCTTCTGTGGTGGGTATCTAGGAGATTAACTACATTGCTGAACGTGTGAATTTGTCTGTGACCAAAACCTGACATGAATACAAACTAAATGAATGATTCCTAAGACTCTTTTGTTATGGAATAATCTCCAGACAGATGTCCACGATATCAGAACAGTCAGTCTAGCACTGTATCACTTTTTGGGAATTCATACCCCAAATAAAACTAACTTTACAACAACTTGCTTTGTTTGTAAATTCTGCTGCTTATTATAGCCCTATTTACATTCTCATCTTCCCAGAATCACAGTATTCCTAGGACTCAGGCTCACAGTCAGCTCCTTAAGAAGCCACATACTCATGATGAAATAGATTTGGTACCGTCCTTTGAATAAGGTATTTTGTTTAAAAAGATATTTTGATAGCTTTCTACAAGAAAGCAGCTCTTGGAAAAAGGAAGCATTTTCCATTTACCAGTCCAAAAAAAAGAGTGCAGGAACGTACTTCTTTCTCCTACTATTTCAAATCCTGTCCCACGTTACTGATCTCAGTCCCTTACTGAATCTTTTCTCTTGGCCCCAGTCCAGACCACCATCTCACTGTCGTGATCCAGCTGCACAAAGGCAGCGAGGACAGGGATGCCTGGCATGGCGAAGGCCATGGCAGTGGGTGCTCGGGCACGGGCTCAGCAAGGTCCCACGAGCACTTGCACAGACACGCGCGCGTTATCATTGCTTACGCCAAGAAGCCCGCTCAACCCCACTGCCGCTGCTTTATTACCAGGTTAACTACATTAAAGCCAATGAGGCCGGGACTCTGCTGCACGTGTACCGGACGCAGCGTCCACACTGAGCAAGGGCTTTCAATATTGCTTTGTCAAATAGAAAGTGACAAAGAAAGTATTTTTTCCCCCCTGAATCTAGTGATATTCGATGTTAGTGGAGGGTAGTTAATTTTATCTCAAATTATGTTTTGCAGACTCTGCATTTCTTCTATATGCAGCCTGAGCCTGGTTTTTCTGAACAGATTAGCTACTTATAAATGCTCAGGTAATCCATGCAGATAGCTTGCAGTCAGGTTGTTTATTATACCATCTATTTTTTTGCACCTGTTACGGGTACATGATGTGATTTCTCATTTCTGAACAAATTTTCCAAGCAAGAGGAAGAAGCGAACAACAATAAGTAATGCATACTTAAGCAAAGTTTTTGGAATGGTGTGTTAAAATTTGTGAAGCTTTTAGAACGAATAAGCATTTCCCCAAACCCTTTCAGACAACGAACTCTTTCTGCACTTACAATTCAGAATACCCTAGCTGGATCCCAGGCCTATGGAGGACATCACACAAGACCTTCAGTGGACCAGAAACATTATTGCCTTCCAAAACAGAAAGGGAATAAAGCCTCAAGCTCTCTGCAGAGAGCAGTACTTACCCACCTCTTCATACACGTGTGGGCCCCACTGTGCAGCAGTCACACATGTCCTCAAAGCACTCCTGGAGCTGCTGCCTCGGGCAAAGCCAGACCAAGCAGCCTCGGCGACCTGCTGCTAACGAGCAGCCTGGAGCGAGACTCTCCAGCGGAGAGGCTGCTCCTCACTGTCGTGGCCCAGTTACTGAGGCACCTGCAGCCTCACACATAGAGTCCCACAGCCAGCACACTGCAGGGCTGTGGACACTTGTGACCCTGCTGCTGCGGCTCTGGTGCGGGACACCCTGCTCAGATCCCTGCTCTGGAGCAAAGATGAACCAAGCACCCTGAGCCTTGACTGCTGGGGGCTGTGCCTAGGCACGGATTTCCCCTCCTCCCCCCAGTGCAGCTACTTGGCTTTGCACAACTAATTGCAGGTTGCTGGAATAAAGCCCTAAATGCGTTTTCTTGTTCCAGGTAAGTGACCTAGCGATGGAGCATCCAAGCTGGAGTCTCCCCATGCCCCAAGTAAATGATTTGCAGCAGAACATCTCCAGCAGCAGAGAAGGAGGCAGACCACCACACACCTGGTGGGGAGGATGGGCTTTTCACACTGCAGGTGACAGAGGTTCAGGTCCCTCCCCTGAACGTGGGTGATGTTTCACACATGCTCAAAGCGGTGACTCATGTCTTTGCAAACACAGAGCATGTACAGCAATGCAGAGCTGCTCTAGAGCCTCTCCATATCCATAGCAAACTAACTACCTTCACCACAGAGCATTTTAGCTAGGAATATTAAAAGCTACTCTGTTAGAATGAGGGGGAACTTTAACAATTGTTATTATTAATTTTGGAATAATTAAGTGAGAAGCTGTAAGGCTATCATTTTCTCAGCAGGACCACAGGATCTTTCAGCTCTGTGAAATGTTTTACTATGCCCATATGCTTGGCTACAGCTGAGTCCAACTATAAAAGTATGACATCTTTTAATTACATTTTAATGAACACTGTAACTAATCCAATAGCTCATTTGTTAGTACCTTATGGGAGAAAGAAAAGCTCGAGAACAATCTCAGAATTCTTGTTTTTGGAGTCCGCGGAGAGTTATGGGACAATAGCTGTGCCAAATTCAGCCTTCCTAGGAGAAAAACTTGTTAAAAGCCTGTGATGTTAGATTTGATTTACCAATGGCCACAAAGACCATCTGAACTTAAACAGGTGGGCACACGGGTCTCCGTAGACGAGTGCTTTCCTCCATCACCAGGTCTCTCAAGCACTGAAGGGAGCAGAAGGATGTACAAGGGGCACACGGCTAAGGACACATCCAGCTTTAAAGGCTGCCTACTGGCTTCGCTCAGCTTTGAATCAGGCCTTTATTAAGTTAACTCCTGTTGAGACCTTTCACAATCCCTTCTTCAACACAGTGAGCAGGATCATTTCAGCTATTACAAACATTGAAAAAATTGTTTTCAAGCCTTCAATAGACATAATTTCCCCCCATCTCTGAAAACTGACATCTCTTTTATGTTCATCATCAATAGACTGACTTTTATATCTTGCCTGCCCTATAGACAAATACAGTCATAATATTCATAATTGCTATATATTTCTCTACAACAAGTGAACTGTATCTCGTGGTTTCAGTCTGAGACTTAGGGAGTTCAAGGACTGTCTAGAATTGAATACATCAAGTAGTGGGCTCAAAAAAATCAAGAAAAAAAAGTGGGTAGTTTCAACTGTAGGGGAAAAAAGTGCTCCAGGAAGGAAATCAAGCATTTGGTGGGCTTAGTTTGGCCCCTAGTGGATAGCAATTCTCATTGTCACGTTGAATTGGTAGCCTTTGCTTAAGCAAAGGACAGGACAGAATAACCCTGGAGACTAAATTACCTCTCAGCTTTGGAGACGGAGCTTGCTTCAAGCCAGACCTGAGATGAATTTGCAGTCTACTGTCAGGACTGGAAACTAAATATTGTTTGCCTCCTCAGCAGGACTGCCAATACATTTAAAATCCACATCCAGAAAATGAATTCTCCTCTTTCCTCCCAAGTTACAAAAGATTCATCTGAAAGGAAAGGTTGGTGAACGTTTTCCTCTTCCTTTGCTAATTAAAAGACAAGTAACATGCTTAATGTGCCAAGAAACCAGGTCCTTGTACTACTCACGTGAGCAGAAGGCTCCAACAGACAGGCTTGGTGGAAGTGTGTCGGCAGCGTCACCGTGGATGGCTGCCATCGCTCACAGCAATGAAAACGATGCAGTTTGCTTGCGATTATAGACTCCTATTGATTTCCAATTTTCACCAGGCATGTCCGAGTCCCTCGGGATCGAAGCATTTGGAGATTCTTATCAGTCTTGCAGTGAAGAAACAACGTGGTGATATAATTGGCACAGTGTAGCAATAAAGACTCGCCTGTTCTGTTTTCAATTTAGTCCTTTACTGCAGTTTCTTGACAGTAGATTTCTTAGTGTTAATGGCCTCATATAAGGTTATCAAGGACCAGGCTAAACTTTACAAAGCTGTATACGTATTTGGTCTTTCTAAACTTAATAGCCATGCTCTAAATAGGAATGCTACATCCAGAGCAGACTGTACTACATAACAATGGTTTTGTTTCTCTTTAGCAATGTCAGCTAATGTTTTATGTATTCCTATTTTGCTGCTCGGTCACAATATCCACCGCACTTCTGATCAAAGCATTTAACATCAGTAAAATGTGCTCGTAACAACGGTGTATTTGGAGTATTAAAATACAGCACAGATAGCCTCAAGTTGTTGCAAGAATGATATTTGCACAGACTATAGTAAAAGCAAGGTGATGCATATATAATCTCTTCTTGTAAGGTGAAAAGGGAAAGTGCATCAGCAGTATTTCTGTTTAGAACAGCTCTTTTAGCACAGAATTAATTCAAGTCCTCCTCCAGTGATTTTCCTCTGCAGTACCTGTGCTCAAATCTGAAATTGTAAAGCGCCAGCACAGGGTAGGAAACTTGAAGTGTGCTGAAATGATAAAGGACAAAGCAGCTACACAGAGTTCTGGCAAAATCAAAGCAGATACATTTCTATTTACAAGTGGAAGGTGGCATAACATTTACTGTTGATTTAGGCACTGTACACAACAAGCAAGAGGTAGCATAACGGAACAAAGCTGGTTTTATGCGACTGAAGCAAAGCCAGCGTTTTTAGTGTCTCTGCAGAACAACGCTATTTACAGTGTGATGGAGAGCTGATCAAAAAGTGAGACCCTGATTTCATCAAGGCGTAAACAAATACTCATTCAGCTAAGGTGGAGCACTTAGAGGTTTAGTATCTCAGAAACACCTTGGAGGAGCAACCTGTGCAAAAATAATCATTGAACTGCAAGTGATATACCTCATGGTTTAACCAGATAATATTTGAGCACAAGTACAACTTAAATGGACTGTGTTCAGACCATCTGATGTGCTACTTTTCTTATAGAGCAAACCTATTTGAACAGACTCACACAAGACGCTTGCTGTTTACCAGACCCAGACAGAGCACACGTGTCGCTAGGACTTGAGGGCTTGCCCAGCGCATGCTTTTCCCTCAGCGGACATGAAGACATTTAAACAAACATCAGACGCCAACTCCTGGGAACAGCTGATTGTAAGCTTCTCGGGATAATGTTTAAGTGTTTGGAAAGACTTAGCACATTATGAACACTGCTACAGCTAAAATGGATCTGGATTGCCTTAATGCATCTGTAGCAATAAGAATTGTTATAACCATGATGATCTAAAGATGCAAGCAAAACAAGGTTTTTAAGCCAAAGTAAAATCTTTATATTAGACATAGTAATGAAGATGACGGAGACAAGCAGTTCAGGCATACAAACCTTTCTTCAGACAAGAAGCGCCTCAAAGCTGGCTTTGTTTTTTAAACTATATCAATGTGCCTCTTTACAAGCCTCATCAAGCTGCAATATGAGCACATCCAAAATACAGGTGCAAGGCTCCTACAGCACAGGATGAAGGAGAAAAGAACAGAACAAAACAGAAGATGAGCTCCTTTAGAATTACCCAGACTACCAAGATTGTAAGAAAGAGATGGCAGGCTGGAAGAGGAACACATGCCTTGATTTTTTGTTTTTGTTTTGGGGGGTGTGAGGGGATAAAGGTTTATTTTTAAACTAGAGTTCAATTACAAAATTACAGATGCAAAAAACTAACTACAGTCCCCTTGAAAGATTATAATGCTAGTGACAATCTGATTTAGCTTTTTAACACACTAATATCAGCGTTAAGACATAAATATATGAGGTCTTTACGACTTCCTACGCAAGAGCCCCATGCAACTCATTGAAGTCTACAGAAGGAATCTTCTCCCACTGAAAATCATCAGAGTCAAATCAAGACTTACAGAAATAGGTCTTACTTGGAATAAAGAAGCAAGATCTAGGATTTAACTGTTAGTTTTGGAGACTGGAACTGGAAAGCAAGATTCCAAAAGTCGTCTAATAGCAAGAGGTTCTTTATTTTTTAAGGATTTATTTACAAAGAATTCTACCCCAAAATACTGACAGCAAAACTTAATGACAACCTGAGATAATACCGGACATCCTGGCCCCATATCCAACCTGGCCCCTGATAAAGACACTCAGAAGCAATAACAGTAGCTGGCACATTTAGTGAAAAGAGTAAATAATACAGCATGGAAACTTGAGGAACATGTATATTTCGCCTGAATGAAAAGGAATAACTCCTTCACTCAAAGCAGTAGAAAAAGGTTATCGACAACTATAAGCTCAAAATGACTACAGCATGCAGTCACACTGGGTGACTAAAGAGGACAGTTACTGGAAAATCACTTTGTGCTCACTTTTGTTGAAAGTAGTTGGTCCGGTGTAAAAGCCATTCCAGTTTCAACCAATTGATGAATTAGCAATTTTGAAAACATCTCATTTGAATGATCAGTTTGAAACCCTCTGAAAACTATTTTCTTGAAGTCTGTATCTGAAAGCTCATCCAAGAGTCAGAAAAACATGCTCAAAGGCAAATTCCAAAATAGATCAAGAAATATTAAATTATCAAGCGAAAGCATAGCAAAGCTTTCTTATTATAAAAAGGAGCCATGAAAGATCACCGAAACTAACATGAGTCTAACCATGGTAAAGTGATAAGAAAATAAAAATTTAAGGGTTATGCTAAAGAACAAGATCAGATAGCTAAGCATTCAACCTATTCTTGAAATACAAGTAGAAATATCACAGGCCCACAATCTTCACAGAAAAAAAGCATCAACACACACCACCAGCAACCTTACCATCCTCTCTCTCCACCCAGGAGGTATCAAAAATCACAAAAGGAAAAAAAAACCTTATCGATGAATGAAAGATCTTGAGAATAATTGGTTGAGTTATAGAAACAAGGGATTATTCCTTGGTAAAAACAAGATATCTTGGAAAATTTAAAAAAAAAAAACAGAGAGAGGCCATTTAGATTTTCTCTGCTACAGCCAAGAATAAGGAAGGTATTTCCCATAAAAGAGCCTAATAATCCCTTGATTTCATCAAATGACCACTATCATAGGAAAAGCAAGTAGTGGACATGAATATCATTTGAAATCAGATAGTAAACTAACCCTGTGACCACAACACCTTAACACCAGTAAAGTGTGATCACTGCTACTAAGAGGACACGATGTTCTACATGGTAGACATACATAAGATCAACACTCTTAAAAGCAAAAATAGACACTAAATAAGCCATCACACTGTAAGTCACTCTGAATTTACAATGACCATGAAATAGCAGTAAAACCAGCAACTCACATTTCAAATTCAAATGAAAAATTACTGTGATGAATCAAATGGAGGGTAAATGCTCAGTGCACTGATACAGCAGGACTGGGGCAACTGCATTGCCTGACATTCAGAAAGGTGAAACCACAGGAGTTCAAATGAAGCAAAAGGCTATAGATAGTCAAAGGCAGGCTTGCTTCATCTGCCATTACTCATCTCTGAAAAATAAAGAAGAGAGCGAGCTGCTCCTGAAACTCTGAAATCCTAGCTACCAGAATAGTCTGTTAGGGCACGACTATGTCCTAACACTGTAATTTAGGTTTTGGATCAACCTCCTCACAGCCAACCCAGGATCAGAAAGGTGGGCGCCGTGCAAACCCTTTACTATTGAAAATGCTGGTTGGTCCCAGGACCGGGCACTTGAAACGCTATGTATTTCCCCACACACATTTTTACCTTCCAAGTCCCGCGTAGGATACTATCTGGAAACTGTTTGGGTTCCTAGAGCTGGTCAGTCTCCCTCAAAAACAGAGCGAAGCAGCATCGAACCTTTATTTGGAAGGGGCAGCACGAGGCGACGAGCCCGCCGGGCAGAGAGCGCGCCCGCTCCCGGCTGAGGGCACACAACCAGGCAAGCGGGTCAGCTACCGGGCGAAGGGCCCGGTGATCTTCTCGGCGAGCAGTAAGGAGCCACGCGTGCATGCGTGCGCGGGCTCGTGGGCTCATCACCGCGCGCCCGCTGAGCAGCTGCTCGCTTTGAACTGACGTGCTCCATCCAGCCCTTTTCCTTCAAGATCATCTCTCTCTAATTTCTTGAAGCTGAAACCCTAAATCATGCTCAGTCTTCTTCGCGGCCCGCTTTATTCCAACTGCACTACCCCGTCGCATTAACGTTTATACGACGAGAAAGAGACTCAGCAGCTGTTTGAAAGCAGAGATAGGTAAAACCTGCCCAATTCCAGCTAAGCACAACAGTATAGGGGACTGTCAACTTGAAACCTGATTAAAAATCCAGTTTAAGGCATTTCTAGGTGTTGTGCCTGACTGAGTTCAAATGAACTCTAAAAAAAATCATTTTACAGTCACGTTTCCCTATTCTGAAGCCGTTTCCCTGCTCCGCTGAGGTAGTACACAGAGAAAGAGAGAAACTAGTCATAAACACGGCATCGTCAACTGCACAAAGAGCTTTAAGAAGCAGAAAGTAAACACCCTCTAATCTCCCTCAATTACAGTAATCTCAGAGATTTAACTGGAGTGTATTTCAGACTGAAGTCAGTTCCACATTCTTTACCTCATCTCTCCTATATATTAGGATACAGAATATATATGTATATTAGTATATATGCAAGATACATCTATACTTAAGTTGCACGGAAAAACAATATTATTAAGTGTGTGCTATATGGCTGTGGTGTTAAAACCTTAACTGTTGCTCAGTAGTAGCAAAACTCATAGCATTTCACTGTCATTAAAAAAAAGGAAAAAATTGTAATTTTGCATAAGCTTAAGTGGTCTTACTTGTGGTTTGACTTTCAAAACTCAGTGAAATAAATAAGGTGGTGTACAGATCAGTTCCTACATTTGCTCTTGATTTTGCTCGCCTATGATAGCCTTCTATTAAGGAGCCTTAGCAGAGGCATTTTAATAGATCAAAATTATATGAGGGTGGATTGAAATCTTTATCAAGTATAAAGACAATCTGTATGAGAGCTTTAGCATTTTAAAAATAGTAGAAACCAAGTTATGGAAAAACCTGAAAAACAATAAATCGGTTATTTCCTCCCTCCACTTTCCCGGTAAGTATAGTCAGGACCTTTCCTTTACAAAACATTTTGCCATAAATGTTTCAATTTGATATTTCACATCTCCCTTATGCAAAGAGGACTCCCATGAAATTAACTCCTCTCCGTTCACCGCCACATAACATCTCCGTGACAACTCTGGTAATTGCTTTCACGGGGTAAGCAATACTCAGAAAGCATGAATATTCCTTTGTGAAATTTAGCAATTAGAAATAACTAGAAGGCTTGCATTACGTGATCGCCAGCGCTCGTGACGGGCGCGCGCTACAAACAGCCGCTTGCAAACGGCCTCCCAGCCGGCGCCGTCCCCGCAGCCTCTCTGCCGTGCACGGAGACTTCTTTTTCGCGTCTTTTCCAGGAAGAAAACTCTTTTCTCACTTTCTCATGCTTAAAAACAGCAGCAGGGGAAGCACGGGGCCGATGCAGAGAGCTTGCTGGCATTTATGCGGCTGCGCGCGCTCCCCCGGGGACCTGCTCGTGGACGCCGGCAGGCAGCGGGAAGGAGCCGGGCAGCGGCTGCGGAGCGGGACACCGACGCCAGCCCCCAGCCACGCGCAGGGACCCACCACCCCAGCAAGCGCCCGGGGGGCCGCTGGTTCGGGGAGGGATGCTCTAGCACCAGCCCAAGCAGCGCCTTCCCTGGCCGGCCCGGCCGAGGGCTGCCTCCCTTCCCGCCTCCAATACGCCCCCTTCTAGAAACTGGACTTCCACTGCTGCAAGCAAACACCATCCCGCAGTATTGCGAGAGGTTGTAAGACAACCGACATGATGCATAACGCATGCAACAGGCAAACTACACATCAGCCATACTCTCCAGATGTAAAATAATGGGCTAGTATCACTGTATTACAGAAAAGTCTCGAAAATTAGAAATGCTTTAATACCTTCAAGCGAAAAAAGCCTACTGCCGCCTCTGATCACCCTTGCAATATGACAATGCCCGGATCATCTCAAAATTAAATATACCTTGATATTTGAACTGTTCAGGCTTCAGAGCCTCAGCCTCTGGCATTTCATAATACTTAGGTAATAAACGAACAATCTTATTTTATCAAAAAATAAAGAAAGAGGAAAAAAAGATTGCCAAGGAAATAGTGGCTGTGAAATGGAAGCCACCGTTTCAGACACCAGGTCTCATTAATCTTACTGATGAATAGGACCTTTATAAAAGGAGACCCAGCAGTTGAGAGAATTGAAAGGAAATAGTATGGAAAGTGAAGCAGCAGTTTCTTGTACTAGTTCTTATGTGTTTTAAATTAAGTGGCTTTTGTGGAAGCTCCAGTCCAAAGAGAAAAAATTGCAAGTAATTCCTGCTTTACAAGAGAAATGCATGTGGAAGACACGGATGCTCCTTTCACTGCAAGCCCTTTCTGGCAAAGAGATTAGATCAAGAATACAGCCAAAAAAGGA